AAATAGTAAATACTTGTGAAAATGAAAACAGGTCAAAATGGAAGAGTGAGCTCAAATGTCAGTCCCTCCTGTTTCCTGACACCTGCCTTCAAGTCCCAGTCAAGAAAGACTCCAATGGCCAAGAGAATGAGAGAGGGCCACAAGTTGATGCAGAAGTTTGACAGAGCTTTGGAAGCTGCACTCCAGAAGGGCACTGATAGATGGAAAAGAAGAAAAGAAGGGGCTGTGGAGAGGAGGGGTTGACTGCCCAGCTGGAGCCCCGAATCTGCAGACTGAGCAGCAGGCGTATGGGGCATGGCTGGGAGCAGCGAGGTTAGTCAGAGGTGCGCTGGGAAGCAATCCACCCCACTCCTGCAGGCAATACGGCCTCTGTCACCAGGGCTCTACTCTCCAAAGAGAAAGAGTGTCTGGGGAGAAGCAAGGAAGGCCAGCCTGGCAGCTGGCCCCCCAGAGTACACTTCCCTGGTGGAGATGTTAGGGGTCTGCAGCACCATGACTGGTTTTCCACATTCACCCCAAAGTCAAGCCTGCCGCTTCACAAGCCCCGCTCACGTATCCTGAGCACCTGGCCCATCTCTGTAGTCCCTCATCAGGGCTGGACAACCAGGTCACTGGATGCTGGAGGAAAATTGCTGCTTCAAGAAAATAAAGAACAGAAACCACAGAGAGAAAAACCAGATAAAAATTAAACAAAGGTAACTCTGGGAATAGAACTTTCCAAAGATCTAATATCCTCAGAAAGTCATACTAGAGGGGCACCTGGGTGGCTCAGTCAGTTGAGCATCTGTCTCTCAGTTTCAGCTCAGGTCGTGATCTCGGGGTTGTGAGACCGGGCCCCATCCAGTGTGGAGCCTGCTTAAGACTCTTTCTCTCTCTCCCTCTCCCCTCTCCCCCTCTTGAATAAAGAAATAAAATAAATAAATATATATATTAATTAATTAATTAAAAAGTCATGCTATTGCATCCAGGAGGCCAAGAACAGTTGCTATGAAAAAGGAACAATTAGCGACAAAGAAAGCTTTTGTTCACACCCACAAATACATAAATAATGAGTTAGGAAAGAAAAGCTGATTGCACTAGGGTAAGCTTCAGGAGGGCAAAGGATTTCGTGTTTGGTCACTGCTGAATCTTGAGAACCTCCAACAGAGCTTGGCAAATCACAGGTGATGAAAAGAGAGGGAGAGAGGGAGGGAGGAAAACGGGGAGGGAGGGAGGGCGACTCTGGAAGAAAATAAACCTGGAACATACAGGAAGAGATGGCGCAGATATGCATCTAGGTGGTCCAAAAGCAGAGAACGGGAGTTCTGGAAAGAAAGCACAGAAAAAAGAGGGGCGCCTGGGTGGCTCAGTCGGTTAAGTGTCTGCCTTCGTCTTGGGTCCTGATCCCAGGGTCCTGGGTTCAAGTCCCACATCGGGCTCCCTGCTCAGCGGGGAGCATGCTTCTCCCTCCGGCCCTCACCCCGCTCATGCTCTCTCACTCTCTCCCTCTCTCTCAAAATCTTAAAAAAAAAAAAAAAAAAAAAAGCACAGAAAACAGAAGAGAAGGATTATTCAAAGAAACTTCAGAAATGCATTTCTAGAGCTGAAGAGAGGATCCTCTTATGATTCCAGAGGAGGAGGAGGGAAGCAGAGCACCGATTACAAAGGGATGACAAGCAGGATAAGACCAGTTTTAACAGCAACCATAGGTTCTTGAAGACAATGAAGCAAAGCCTCCAAGTTCCAAGGGAAAATTATTTTGAACTTAGAATTCCATGCCAAGCCAAACTAGCAATTAAATAAAGGGCAAAGGTAACAAGACTTTCATACGTAGTGAGAGACTCTGAAAGCTTACCTCTAATGCACCCTTTCTGAAAAGGTACTCCTGCAAAATGAGGTTAAAAACCAATAAAGGAAACTATGGGAGACTCAGGAACCTGGAATTGACCCAAGTGTCCGTGAAAACCAACCTCCACGCAGCAGTTGTGTAGAAGACCTAGAAAGTCATGAGTCCACATTAGATTGGGCAATCTGCGTGCTCTACATGGAAGGTCTTCCAAAGAACAATGGAAGCAGATCCCAAGCAAAAAAGAAAGTGGTACTGGGGGAGAGAATGTATCATTATCCTCTCCACCAGGAAAAAGCAATCAAACTTAAGGAAAAATGGGAGGAAGTTGGGGGGGACATTGCAGAGGAAACCATCCAGAGGCAAAGCGAGCTAAAATGTGGAGTGACTCAGGCAGCTGATGGGGGAGACCACGTGACTGGACACTAGGGCCACTCTCCTCTGTGTGGCGTCGCCAGAACTGCGTAGCCTGAAGGACAGGCAATCACCACGTGGTGCTTGGCCCAGCAATGAGTCATATTTACGTAAGTCACCATAATCAAATTGTTGTTGACTGGTATTCAACTTTTAAAATTAATCTACAGGTAAAGCACGGAAGCTTGAGTTATGGTCACAGAACGGAATGTTCAAGTCATCAATCTTGATAATATAAAAGCAAAAGGTGTCACAGAGAAGGAAGAGGTGGGAGGGGGTCAAGAGATAAAGGGCAGGTGTGTTAATATCCTCACCTTTCAGAGTGGGGAGCCAAGAGATGCTGTCAAGAGTTACGTGAATAATAAACAAGGTGTTTTAATACGGTTTGAAAAGGTGTAACTGTCACCAGGAGAGGAATTAAAAGAATCCTATTACTGTCAAAAATGGGGTAGGGGTAAGGGACACAAGGGGCCACACCCTCATGTACCACAGGGAATGGCTGAGGTCGAAAATCAAGAAATCATGGCATTAAGAACAGTATTGAGAATCTCAGGAGTACCTACTGAATGATCTGAGAATAGAAATGGTTGAATCTGACTTTTGGGGAACAGGGCTGGGACTAAAGAGCTTCCATTACAAACACTTCTAGACCATTAGAATTTTAAAGCACATGCAGTTACAATTTTGATTAAATAATTTTAACGTATTTTTAAAATATAAACATCCAAGTTTACTACCGCAACATTAACCATATATATGTATATTTTCCCCACTGTTAATACTTACCCACTGTTAAGCTTCTATTGTACTGAAAGCTTCTAGACCAACAGAGGTGAATTCTGTATTTCAACTACCATTTAAGTTTATATATTGTAATTCACCTCATCTAAAACATGCACAGTTTTTCCCACACTTTTATGTCACCGGAGTCAGGATGGGTTCACTTAATTGGCAGGTTTTCTCTTAGTGGTATATAAATTATGGTGACATCTTACTATTAATGGTGTCTTGGATTTGATGAAACAGGATACTTGTAGCAAATTATACGTCTAGGTATTTTTCCCCTACGTCACGTTATGAAACCATAACTGCTACATCTTTTTCTACTACTCGGCTCCTCCCTCATTCTACTCCAGCCATATGATCTTTGGGGTCTTTTCCTCAACACCGTCGGGCCTTTGCACCGGCTGTTCCCCAGCCTGGGAAGCTCCCCGCACCCACCCAAGCAGCTGGGCATATGGCTGCTCCTTCACAGCATGCACTCTCAGCTTAAATGTCACTCCCCCGAGAAGCTTGTCTGACCACGCAATCGAAATCAGCTCTACTGCCCAGAAACGCTTCCTATCGTATTACCCAGTTTTATTTTCATCAAAACACTTACCCTGATTATTTTCATTTATTTGTCTCCTACATCACTGGAGCATAAGCTCCAGGAGAACAAAGCTCTTGCCTACCTTGTTCAATATCACATCCCAGCACCTAGAACCAAGCCTGACACCAAACAGGTGCTCAAATATTTCTAGAATGAACACTCTAGGAAAATAATGGTAGGCTCTTGGACACAGTAGATGATCATTTAGCAAGTAACCGGGTTTCAAATCTATAAATAACATTGTGTCCTTATTTTTCTATGTAAAACAACCTCATATGTGTAAATTCTTTTGTTAGGAAGATGCATTTCTGATTGCTATCCAGTTAAATATATTTTAGAGATACACTAATAGTACATGCCTAGAATAATTTCCAGCACATGAAACAATTTATACTATCTTTATATATTTGCACATCTTCCAAATCTACCTACTACTGACCACAATTGATATCAAACTGTAATGAAAAGAAAAAGGTTGTTTCAAAAACTTCGAGAGTGTGATTAACTTCAAGATTTTAAACTTTACGAAGAAAGAGTAGTCCTCTCTCCCAAAGGAAAGATGGTGAAGTTAAAATTACTGTTTATACTTAAATTTTATCTCCCAGAGCCCAGTTCAAAGAATTGAAATAAAGTTCATCTGATATCACAGAACATGTAACAAGATCAATAATGAGTAAGTTACTGTCAGTTTCTCTAATACTTGCATTTTACATGTACGACAAGAGAGGAAAATAAAAAGGCTGAAACCTTGAAAAAGTGTATTTGTCTGATTTTTTTTTTATTAAAAAAGACCATGATTCTTTAGGAGGTGATACAAGATTGCTTTCCAGCCAGATCATAATTTCCACAATTTCTGTAGTAACTATAAATTTGAAAGGTCCCACTCTCCCCACCCCCATTCACTTTTGGCACCTATACGTGAAATGTCACTTCTGAAAAATGGGGGAAAATGTGAATACTGGGTTTAAATCACAGTACTCCTTTCCTGAGGAAAAATTTTCTGGTTGCTAAATTGAGAATATTGATCAAAGAAAGCTTAATATCTCATCAATAAAAGCCTTTTTCTAACCAACTCTATGACTGTCTCAGAAGAAAATTATATTAGAAGTAGCAGCCAATTCTCAGAGGTAAAAGGGCAATGGCTTATCTTATCCTTTCCCGCTTCTCCTAATTTTAAATTTAAAATTACAGAGCAATTCTATGAGAGGTAGCAGAATGTTTGGCACAGGCTCTGGCTTCATGATTTGAGAATACAATTTCAACTCATCACATTCTTCAGAAGAACTCATTATACTGAAAAGAATTAAAGGAAGAGGCTCTCTTAACTTCTACAGGCAGAGAGGTTGACCAGAAGGACAGATACTGGTTACCAGCAGAGGAGGAAGGACTTAACCATGTCTGGCAATTAGGAGAGGATATATCCAAAGTTATATTCTTAATCTGATTAGAAAAGTGTGTCATTTATAAAGTATACTACTCTTGAGTCTTCACTTAATCTGCTAAAAGAAGCTTCTACACAAAAATCAGGATGCTACAGGAAAGAAATAGCCAACACAGGCTATAATTGGCTAATATTTAAATATGAAGAATTCAACCTTCATTTTTCATATTTGTGAAGGGTTTACGAGCTTGTTACGGACCTATTCGGCCCAATTCATATTTATTTTTATTTTTTTGCTGTGCTTCAGATCCACAGGGTATTGCCAAGAAACTGAATTTTTATTAGGGCTTAACGGATTTTTTTGAGTACTTCTGTTAAGCTGATAAGAGGGAGAGTCTTATCCTACCCCCTCCCCAAAACCTGATAAAATAAGACATTTTTATTTCAAAACGGAAGATAGTGATGTTATAAAACTAGGGAGGGAAATAAGATGCTATGACAGTACATTTCTTTTTAATTAACACTTATTTCTCACCTATACACTACTTATGTGATTAAACTTTCGGGAGGGAGAAGGGGAGGAAGGAAACTCCAAAACTTCCTGACAAAGTAGCTGTTCCAATGCATGGACAAGGGCTTATTTCTTCTGCCAGCCACTGATTCACAAACATTTTCCCCATTTAAAGAAGTATGCGTGAACGAGGTTGGGGAGAGCAGGGAACACACCAAGGAGTCGACTATACTCTTCTCTTAATGAGCCCGCCCTATGTCCTTAGTGGCGATTAACTTCATCCGCTATCTTGGTTTTCACAGTAAGCAACATCTTTCTTTAAAACTTTTCTTGTTCTTGCTGCTTTTCTTGCCGTTCTTGTCTTTGTTCTCAGACATCTTTTTGGCTCTGATTTCTCTCATTAGGTCAAAGAATACCTGGGGAGGGGAGGAAGGAGTGTAAAGAATAGAGAGGAAAAAGCCATTTAATGATTTCATGAAGCAATTCCACTAAGCAGGCTATGTAGTTACATTTTAAAGCATAAAGCAAACTTATTTTTATCAACGCTGTGCCAAAATTTGCGTCAGACTTTCTAGCATTGCCAACCACCAGGCAAGGTTAAGAATAGGAGTGCCTGCTACTTGGGTACTTTCTCAGATACTACTATGTAATCCTTAAAAAGGTAGGAATGTCATTATGCCCGACAGCTTCCCCAGCAGAACTAGCAGACTTGGAACACGGTGGGGTGGGGAGATGGGGAAATGGGGAGGAGAGATGTGCTGTCCCACACCCTCCCACGCCCATGGCCCTGCCCTCATTCTCAGGAATAGCCACTGTTCGCTCCTCGTGATGTTTGCTGAAAAGGAACTTTATCAAGAACTGATATAAGGCTTGTCCTTTGAATGCCAGTGTGTTATTCAGATGCAAATTATCATTTGCCACAATAGTTTGGGTTTTGCCCTCTGCTACCAACAATTGTGCCAAAGTGCCGATGATACCCATGCAGACAAAATATGCCTCCTACAAAGAAACATTTCAGATTTCTCAGAGGGAATGACGTGAGACTGAGTGTAGGCTTTAATTTTTGGATGTTCACACAAAACTACAAGCTCCTTCTATTTTCATAGACATATCTTCTTGGAGAAAAGTAAGAGCAAGCTTTCTGAGTGGGAGGACTCCCTGTGCATCTACCACCAGCTCTGGGCACAGAAAAAAACCTCCTCCCCCCCTAAGTGACCTAAGCACCCCACCTACAAGAGCAGCAGTGAACAGCTTCAGATGTTATAGCTTTTTCTTTTTGTTCTAACAGCAAAGGCAGGAGGGGAATGGAATGTATCCAATTTAAAATGATGACGAAGTTGTTCATGGGCTGATCTTATCAACAACCTCCCGTCCTTTCGTGTAAATTGTTTACAAGTGAATACAATGCTGCCAGTCATAAGTTTCTGCTGGGTCCTGTTTGGCAGGTCAAGCTGGTCCAGTGGAGGAAGGGGAGACGCAAGGTGCCCTGCAACAGCCCCAACCACTACCATACTGTCAAAAAACTACATATCCGTGGTTCCATGCCAAGAAAGCCTTCCTGATTTTTTTTTTTTTTTAAATAAAATACATGTCTGGATTTCCTGTGTGTTCCTACATCTAGGAAACAATTTGACAGAAAGCGATCTGGAATAGCACAGGAATCAACATAAGAGCTGAGAAATAATATGAATGAAAAATAGCTAACAAGTGAACATACTTCACATCACAGACAGATTTATATTGTAGATGCTGCCAAAGTGCTTCTAAAGTGAACCCTTTCTGAGGAGAAATAACGACTGACACCAGAGAATACAAAGAATTATAAGAGAATATTAAAAAAACGATATGCCAACAAATTAGACAACCTGGAAGAAAGGAATAAATTCCTAGAAACATACAATATTCCAAAACAGAATCAGGAAGAAAAAGAAAATTTGAACAGACTGATTACTAGTAACAAAATTGAACTGGTAATCAAAAAGCTCCCAACAAAGTCAAGGACCAGATGGCTTCACAGGTGAATTGCACCAAACATTAAAGAAGAGTTAATACTTATTCTTCTCAAACTATTCCCCCAAAAAGAAGAAAAGGAAGGAAAACTTTCAAATTCATTCTATGAGGCCAACTACCAACACCAGACAAAGACACCACAAAAAAATCTACAGGAGCACCTGGATGGCTCAGTCAGTTAAGCATCCGACTCTTGATTTAGGCTCAAGTCATCATCTCAGGGTTGTGACATCAAGCCCACATCGGGCTCCATGGCATCAGGCTCCATCGGGCTCTGTGCTCAGTGGGGAGCTTGAGATGCTCTCTCTCTCTCCCTCTGCCCCTCTCCCCATGCTCTCTCTCTCTAACTAATAAATAAATCTTAAAAAGAAAACTACATACCAATATCTCTGAAAAACATAGGTGCAAAAATCCTCAACAAAAGTATCAACAAACTGAATTCAACAATACATTAAAGGATCATTCACCACGATCAAGTGGGATTTATTCCAGAGATGTAAGAGTTGTTCAATATTTGCAAATCAATCACTGTGATACATCCCACATAAAAAAGAGGAAGAAAAAAAAACCACATGATCATCTCAAAAGACCCAGAAAAAGCATGTGACAAAATACAACATCTGTTCATGATAAAAACTCCCAACAAAGTGGATTTAGAGGGAACATACCTCAACATAATAAAGGCCATATCTGAAAAACCCACAGCTAACATCATACTCAATGGTGAAAAACTGAGAGCTCTTCAATTTTTTGATCAGGAACAAGAATGTCCACTCTTACCACTTTTATTCAAAATAGTACTGGAAATCCTAGCCACAGCAATCAGACAAGAAAAAGAAATAAAAGGCATACAAATTTAAGAAGAAGTAAAACTGTCACTATTTGCAGAGGACATGATACTATATATAGAAAATCCTAAAAATACCCCCCCAAAAAAGAAACCCTACTAGAATGGATAAATTCAGTAAAGTTATAGGATACAAAATTCATACACAGAAATCTGTTGTGTTTCTATACACCAAAATTGAAGTAGCAGAAAGAAGAATTAAGAAAACAATCCCGGGGCGCCTGGGTGGCTCAGATGGTTAAGCGTCTGCCTTTGGCTCAGGTCATGATCCCAGGGTCCTGGGATCAAGCCCTCCATCGGGCTCCTGGCTCAGCGGGGAGCCTGCTTCTCTCTCTCTCTCTCTATCTCTGTGTCTCAAATGAATAAATAAAATCTTTAAAAAAAAAAAAAAAGAAAAAAGAAAACAATCCCATTTACAATTATACCAAAAAGAATAAAATACCTGAGAATAAATTTTACCAAGGAGGTAAAAGACCTATATTCTGAAAACTATAAAACATTGATAAAAGAAATTGAAGATGACACAAAGAGAGCGGTATTTCATGCTCATAGACTAGAAGAACTAATATTATTAAGATGTCCATACTTCCCAAAGCAATCTACAGATTCAATACAATCCCTATCAAAATACCAATAGTATTTTTCACAGAACTAGAACAAATAATCATAAAATTTGTATGGAACCACAAAAGACTTTGAATAGCCAAATCAATCTTGAGAAAGAATAAAGCTGGAGGTATCACAATCCCAGATTTCAAGATATACTTCCAAAACTTTAGTAATTCAAACAGTATGGTCCTGGCTCAAAAACAGACACATAGATCAATGGAACAGGATAGAGGGCACAGAAATGAACCCATGGTTATATGGTCAATTAACCTAAGACAAAGGAGGCAAGAATATATAACAGGGAAAAAACAGTCTTTTCAATAAATGGTGTTGGGAAAACTGGACAGCCACATGCAAAAGAATGAAACTGGACCACTTTCTTATACCATACACAAAAATAAACTTGAACTAGACTAAAGACCTAAATTTGAGACCTGAAACCATAAAACTCATAAAAGAAAGAACATAGGCACAAGCACCAGGTGTTGTATGGAAGTGCTCAGTCACTATACAGTACACCTGAAACTAGTATTACACTGTATGTTAACTATACTGGAATTTAAACAAAAACTTGAGGGGGGGGGAAAAAAAAGGAAAACATAGGCAGTAATTTCTTGGACATCAGCCTTAGCAACATATTTATCAATCTGTCTCCTCAGGCAAGGGAAACAAAAGCAAAAATAAACTATTGGGACTATACCAAAAGAAAAAGCTTTTGCACAGGGAAGGAAACCATCAACAAAAGAAAAAGACAACCACTGAATGGGATTAGATATTTGTAAATCACATATTCGATAAGGGGTTAATGTCCAAAATATATAAAGAACTTCTACAACTCAACACCTAAAAACTAAATAATCTCATTAAAAATCCACAAAGGACCCAAATAAACATTTTTCCAAAGAAGACGTATAGACAACCAACAGGCACATGAAAAGACACATCACTCAGCCTCAGGAAAATGCAGATCAAAACCACAATGAGAGATCACCTCTCACACCTGTCAGGCTGGTAACAAAAGGACAAGAAAATAAGTGTTGGTGAGGATGTGGAGAAAAGGGAATGCTTGTGCACCGTGGGTGGAAATGTAAAATGGTGTAGCCACTGTGGAAAACAGTATGGAGGTCCCTTAAAAAATTAAAAATAGAACTACTGTATGATCCAGTAACTACTGGGTATTTATCCAAAGAAAATGAAACCACTAATTCAAAAAGATATGTGCACCCAATGTTTACACTATGCTAAGTGAAATAGACAGAAAAAGACAAATACCATATGATTTCACTTATATGTGGAATCTAAAAAACAAAAGAAACAAACAAACAAACAAAAACAGACTCTTAAATACAGAGAACAAACTGGTGGTTGCCGAAGGGGAGGAGGGTGGAAGGATGGGTGAATTAGGTGATGGGGATTAAGAGGTACAAACTGTCAGTTATGAAATAAATAAGTCACAGTAATGAAAAGTACAGCATAGGGAACGTAGTCAATACTATTGTCATAACACTATATGGTGACAGATGGTGACCACACTTATCGTAGTAAGCACTGAGTAATATATAGAATTGTTAAATCAATTTGTTGTACACCTGAAATGAATATAACATTGTATGTCAATTATACTTGAATAGATTTTTTTTTTTAAATAAAGTGAGTCCCTTCTAATACCAACATTCTAAATACCAATGTTCTTCTAGATCACTTCAAGTTAAAGTAAGCTTGATTACAAACCTGTCCCTCTTCAGGTAAGAAGGAGAATTATTTCCCCCTAAGAAAGAGCAACATATGAAGCACTTTGGGGAATTCAGATGCCGTTGTCGCATAATACAAAGCAGATATCGCCACTGCCGGGCTGCCAAGGTGAAATGAGTTTGGATGTTACATGATCATGAAGTAAGAGCTAACAAACAAGGTGAAGGTAGAAGGAAAAGCCACATCTCTAAGGCTGTCTACTTGAACTGTGTGGCAACCACTCTGAACCTTAATTCTTTTTTTTTTTTTTAAAGATTTTATTTATTTATTTGAGAGAGAGAGAGAGAATGAGAGACAGAGAACACGAGAGGGAAGAGGGTGAGAGAGAGAAGCAGACTCCCCGCCGAGCAGGGAGCCCGACGCGGGACTCGATCCCGGGACCCCAGGATCATGACCTGAGCCGAAGGCAGTCGCTTAACCAACTGAGCCACCCAGGCGCCCTGAACCTTAATTCTTAAAAATGAAAAACAAACCGAAAAACCTAACAATAGCAATCACTGGTAGGTGGATTTTCAAAAATTGTCAACGTTCATCGTTGTCAAGGTCACCCTTCCACTGGCTTCAGAGATCTGAATGAGAAAGTACACAGGGGTTGGGGAAGAGAAGAGAAGAGAGATCCCGGAGAGTTGATTCTTGAGAACAAATACTATTTAGAGGCTAAGTTATATAAAGACAGAACACCTTGGTTCTGCCAGTGGCCAGCAAGGTGAAAAGAATAAATCTAACCAATCAATGACAGCAAAATCAAGATACGCCATGTGTCTTTGGGGTCCCTCCTGAGAGCCTGCTGAAGAACTTCCCCCTGAAAAACAAGAGGCCATGGCAGATGACAGCACGGGGAAGCTACTTACGTCCATCCTACCCACACGGTCTGCACAAAGCCAGCGCCTCATCTTGCCATACTTCCAAGGGCCATGCCAACATTAAGCATACCCAACAAAGGCTCGTGACAAAGTGAGAGGACTCTGGGTTGCTTTAACTCCAGGGTCAAACCCTCCCAGGGCTTCTCACTACACTGGCTGAGACATCTGGAAAAATCAGTCCTCCCGTACTTTCCATAAACGGTTCCCTCAAAACCAAACAGACAAGATGTGTACGTTATCAGCTGTTTCTAAGAAACACGTGCAGAGCACACACCTACCTTGTCCACGTTGGCCCGAGTTTTAGCCGATGTCTCCACGTACTGCACACCCCACTCCTCTGCTTTACTCCTAGCCTCTTCAATGGGTACCTGCCTCCGCTCCTCTAGGTCGGACTTGTTTCCCACGACAAGCAATGGAATTTTATCTTCTTCAGCCTTAACACGGAGGATCTGTTCCCTAAGGCATAGCATCAAAACAAACAAAACAAAACAACACAGCTCAGAAAGCTAGAGTAAGAACTCAAATTCACTGATGCTTCTAAAATGAAAGGCTATCCTAGGGCAGAAAAACTTGTTACACTCAGGCCATGTTCCAAGGACACACTCCCTAGATCCTGTCATAAACAAGACAAAGTGTTTTCAAAGCCTGGGTCTCAGGTGCCTGTATCAGAAAGATGTGGGGTGCTCATCACAAACACAGATTTCTGGGCCCAACAGGAGTCCCACGGAAGTGATGTCTAAATAGGAGCCCAGGATTCTGCATTTCAACAGGGTCCCCAATTTATGCTTGGGCACCAAAAATTTTTAACAAAAAGAACAACTTGGGAACCTCTGGGATAAAAACAAGTTAAGAGACGTATCTTCATACACAAAATGCTTAATAATTCCCCCGCAAAAATGGTATGATTTCTTTGTGAGAATAACAGCTATGAAATCAGTGTTTCTCATAACAAAGCCGGTGGTCCATTAGATCATGTGAGCAGTTTACTGAGTCACAACCAGTAATTATTGTCCTCAGTGAAACAGAATATTAGAATAGAACAGAAACATCAGAAGGAATGTGGAGTATTACATAAAGTGTAGCTCTGTGAAACTTCTGTTTCAATTTATCTGTGTATGTACCTACTCCCCCACAGTTTGCATTTAGATACAGTAAATGTTACAGGCAACAGAACGGGGTCAGTTATGTTAAGGAGTAATCATGTTTCAGTGCATATTATTTTTCTACTACAAAGTAAAAAAAAAAAAAAAAAAAGGGAAGGAAGGAAATTTAATCCACATTAAATTTCACCTCTACTAAAAACTATCAGCTACCTAAAATTATTAATCAAAAACCAAGTATTACAAAAATTAAATACTCCACTTCCATTATTTTGGTCCAGTAAAGACATTTCTACTTCTACATTCTAAAATATTCCAAAAAGAGACACCTTCAAAAGTGCATTTTGTGGGGATCTGCATTGATTTTTATATGATATAGGATAACATTTCATAATAATAAAAATATTTTAAAATTTTTCCATTAGAGTCAATTTAAGTGTCAGATAGCAAATATTTTAAGAAAAACAAAAAAGAAGAAAAGTAGATGCTTAAAAATTGCTTTTAAGTAGCTTTGCTACTTAAAAGCAAGGCTACACTTTTCTTTTTTTTTTTAAGATTTTATGTATTTATTTGCTAGAGAGCAAGCGAGCGAGAGCACAAGCAGGGGGAGCGGCAGGCAGAGGGAGAAGCAGGCTCCCCACTGAGCAAGGAACCTGATGCGGGGCTCAATCACAGGACCCTGGGATCATGACCTGAGCCGAAGGCAGCCGCTTAACCGACAGAGGTCAAAGAATATACTATGTTTAGAAGTTATATGATCAACACAACTATGGTACGAGAAAAACTGATGGCTCTCTGGCTCATTAGTCATGCAGAGGTTTGTAAAATTACCTCGTTAATAAATATATTAAATCAAAACTGGGAGTACCAAGTCTGGTCTCTTATTACAAACCTATTTTTCTAGCTTACTGAATATTGTCCAGGGAAAGTTTTAAGGAAGATAGAGCATATTAACATTTTATGTTGGGACCTTCCCATAAATACAGCAATGCTACGTTTGAAAACCGCTAAGAGGCATAACGTGAGTTTAACCACAAAGGCTCAGATAGTCTACCTCCATTCTTCTGTTTCCAATGCTATAAGAAACCTGGACAACCCTGTGACTTTTATCTGAATGTCCAGAGTCCAAGTCAGGAGAACTCACTTGCCCTTTCTTTCTCTTTTAGGTAGTCATCTGTCCTTTTTTTCTCGAAGGATCCCTGTTCTCACATAATGCCCGAAACCCATCTCCCAAGATGAGATGAGACCCTGCTCCAAATCTCTGGAAATGCACGAATGTTATCTCTGTGTGTGTGGTGGCATGGGGAGACAGGACATCTGTTCTCTGGACAGGACTCTTCCACTGCTCACCATTTCCTTCTTCGGTGAGTCATGGGGTGACAGGACATAAAAAGGCTCAGGACATGCAGGAAAGTGAGGAAGTGTGTGCATCTGTCCTGTTTTATCCTCAAGTACAGATAAAAACAGGATTATGTAGCTGCAAACCCAATTATGAATACCGGGGCTGTTCCCACATAGAGAAAACTTCTAGGTGTGTTGGGAAAGTCTGAAAACTAATAGGACCGCTCATAAGAGTCCTGGTCATTTAACTGATCACAACACCCACACTGCAGTGCCAGAGAGTTTAGATGTTCTACCTTTGAAGACTTAACACTATGCAGCACAGCAACAGAGCACTACTTTACCTTCCACTCACTCTGCTGGTTTAGCTGGGATCACCCCTTGAGGGCTCCCGGGCTCACTGATGCCTCCTCCCAAATCTTGGAGAGATATTTAGTTTCCTCAATTTTTATTTTTGGTTGATTCCTCGATTTCTGACCATAACTTGCTAAAGAATGAAAAAAATAAATACTGGTTTTTTCCCCCTTTTTAGTTCCCTGTTAGACTCTAGATCTGATTCTTAAAATCAAAAGTCATCGGGGCAGATGTTTATAAGGAGAGTAGATGAAAAAAAAAAATACAATTGTGTAAGAGAAACAAAAAGCGTATGGGGCAAAGAGAAAGACGCCCTTCCCATTAGAACCCTCTAAGGATGACGCCCAACAGCTCACTATTCCTTTATAACAAAATGAACTTCAGGTATCTTTAACTACTGTGTTTAAAATGAGTTATAGCAGCTAATATTTTACTCACTAGGCGAGCACCACCCACACACCCTGTGAGAAAGCTTGGGGACATCATACGGTGCAGGTGGCCATGGCGTCTGCCCTGAAGAATTTACAGCCTAAAGCATCATTTCATTTCATCAACTAACAAGTGCATTTTCAGATAGAGAAACAGAATCTCCAGTGCTGAGTAAATTTGCCCAGGGTCACAAAACTGCAAAGGGGCAGGGCAAGGGTTCAAACCCAGATCTGTCAGATTCTAAAGCTGGGCTGTTTCCACTCGCCTGGGCTAAACAGTCCTTACAGTGGCAGCAAATGGGTCACTCGGACCCACATCTTTCACTCTCCTGACAATGTTTCATCCACCTCAAAACAGATCAAAATTATTACTTTTCTGGCAAAATTATAAAAAAGTTAAAAATAGTTGGGGCACGTGGGTGGCTCAGTCAGTTAAGCGTCTGACTCTTGATTTCAGCTCAGATCATGGTCTCAGGGCCCTGAGATCAAGCCCCACCTTGGTCTGTGCTCAGCGGGGAGTCTGCTTGAGATTCTCTCTCTCCCTCTCCCCCTGCTCATGCTCTTGCTAGCTCGCTCGCTCTGTCTCACTTGCTTTCTCTCTCAAATACACAAATAAAATCTTTAAAAAAAAAAGATAAAAATAGTGAACTCATCAATCACTGTCCCTCAGGATTTATACAAAAACAAAATTACAGGTTGAGAATACGGAATGACTTCATCCTCTCTAGGGACAACAGATTCTTCAGATAATTTATATTCAGGAATTATAGAAACAGGGAAACCCAAAGAGACTATAACAAATGGTGGACTATAATGTGCCAAGATTCAAAAAGCCGCAGAAAATTCTTTAGTGGAATTCTTCCTAATAACAACCTCAACCCTCTACTACTGTGCTCAGCCCCAAAGTCCTGCCAAGCCAAACCCACGAGAAAGAAAGGCAAAAAGCCTCCCGGAGTCCGGAGACTATTTCTCTTGAGACATACCTGAATTCGGCAGTTGCTGTAAATGATTCGTGTTCTGTGATTGAGAACACGAGGAGGAAACCTTCCCCACTGCGGAAGTAGTTGTCTCGAATGGCTGCATAATCTTCTTGTCCAGCCGTGTCCAGAATATCGATCTGGACTTCTTCTCCATCAAGAACCACTTTCTTTCTGTAACTGTCAGCTTTGGTAGGTTCATAGTCTTCTACAAACTGAGGGAATAAACAGCATTATCAGTAATGAACAAAGTTTTAAGGGAAAGAAAATCTGCCCCAAAAAATACATTTCAATATATGGGCACTTTGCCTACCATCAACTGAGTATTTACTGAGTGCCTAGCATTATCACGCTGTGTACAAAGCACTATGAAATAAAAATAACTCCTCATATAACACTTCTGTTCTTTATTGTTCTCAGCTCTACCACTTTTTATTTTGTTTTTAAACAAGAGCAGAAATTCCCATTTTGTAGCTGAGGAGTCCAAGTACAGGGCAGAAAGAACACTGGCAATATTATTCTCAGTATAAAATTATAATACAATCATGGGCAAGGGTGAGAAACAGAAGCTCTTATACATAATCAACAGAAGTATAAAACTCATCTGAAAAGTAATTAGCAAGACGGACTCAGAGGATTAAATATACACATAATGAAATATAAAAATAAACCCATCAAGCACCAGAAGAAAACATGGGTGAAATCCTTTTATTACCTTGAAGTAGGGAAGGCCTTTTTAACTATGACTCAAAATCCAGAAGCCATGTAAGAAAAAATTGATAAATTAGACTACATAAAAAAATTTTAAAAACTTCCGTATGGCACAACACACTATAAAAAAAGACAAATGACAAACAGGGGAAAGTATGTGAACCCACATCACAAAGAGCTATATTTAAACAGTTCCTAGAAACAGGGAGGAAAAAAGATCAACAATCCAATGGGGAAAAAGTGGCAACAGACATAAACAATTCACAGAAAAATAAATACATATGATGTTAAACATACGAAAAGATGTTCATCCGCACTTAATATAGAGAATGGAAGTTGTTAACTACATGGAGATAGCATTTTTCACCTACCAGACTGGCAAAACCCCACCGTCAGATGACACACTCTGGGGAAAAGGCCCTTTGTACATGGCTGGTGGGAGGAGAATAGTGCAGTCTTTACAGGGATGAATAGGGCAAGATCTAAGAGCACTAGAGAAGCATTCATCCTGGGTCCCAGCCACCCTGCTTCTAGGAATCTAATCTACAGCAACATACAAGGTGATCCCTGTGGCACTGTGTGTGACAGCAAATGATCACTAACCACCCAAACAGCCAGCAAAAGGCGCCCACTGACGGAATACTACGCAGCTATAAAAAATGACAAAGAGAACTATGTACAGATACATAAAGAGCTCCAGATTATAAGAGTCTACCTTTTGCACAAGTATATGAGAATAAAGGGAGAATAAAGAATAAGAAATGTGTGTGTGTATGTGTGTGTATGGTGGTTGTTTGTGTGTGTGTGTGTGTGTGTGTGTGTATAAGATATATACATGTATACATATATATCTTAAAAGGTATGTATATGCATAGGTATGTATGTATGTATTTGCCAAAAAGATACCCTGAAAGGACAAATAAAACAAAGCAAATATAAAAGCTGTGAAACAGAAAAACTGAAGCAAATGAACCTAAATGAATATTAAATTGGTAATACAGTCACACAGAGAAAGAATTAATTCAAGAGACTTTAGCACAGAATAATTTTGATAGTATGTGTCCCACTAAAAGAGACTAAGGACAAAAGAATTTCAAAAAAATGCTAAAGTTCCCTCAGTGCTGTATTATTGAGTAATAATGGTATTAATATTTCAAAGCTATTTTCTTTATATTGTGGTAGACATCAAATAAGTAATTATCTTAATGATGTCAGAAGTATAGGTATTTAGAAAAAAACTAAATTAATGACAGCAATGTACTATTAAAATTGAATTAGTGCTAAAAAAAATGAATTAGTGCTAGTTTAGGCGGATATCCACAAGCAAAAGAATGAAGTTAGACCCATATTATATTCACATCACATACAAAAATTAACTCAAAATGGATCAAGACTGAAAAGTAAGAGCTAAAACCCATAAACTCTAAGAAGAAAACAAAGGTGTAAATCTTTATGACCTTGGATTTGGCAATTTGTTCTTAGATAAGACATCAAAAGCACAACTAGGCTTCATCAAAATTTAAAACTTTCATGATTCAAAGGACACCATCAAGAAAATGAAAAGATAACCCATAAAATGAGAGAAAATATTTATAAATCATATATCTAATAAGGGACTTGTATTCCAAATACATAAAACACTCTTAAAACTCAACAATAAAAAGACAAATAACCCAATTTAAAAATACACAAAGGACCTGAATAAACATTTCTCCAAAGAAGAAACACAAATGGCCAATAAACATAACAAACAAGGCCAAACATCTTTAGTCATCGAGGAAATGCAAATCCGAACCACAATGAGATACCACTTCACACCTACTAGGATGTATAATCAAAAAGAGACAATGACAAGTGTCAGCGAGGATAGGGAGAAACTGAAAGCTTCATACATTGCTTATAGGATTATAAAATGGTGCAGATGCTATGGAAAACAGTTTCGCAGTTCCCAAAAAGTTATATGTAGAGTTACCATAAGACCAGCAAGTTTCGTGCCTCAATATATTTACACAAGAGAATTTAAGACATAGGTCTACACAAAAATTTATACACAAATGATCATAGTGACATTATTCAAAATAGCCAAAGAAGTAGAAACAATCCAAACGTCCATCAATTGATGAATGGATAAACAAAACCTAGCATATCCAGATAATGGAATATTATTCCATGATAAAAAGGAACAAAACACTGGGGCACCTGGGTGGTTCCATCAGTTTAAGTGTCCAACCCTTGACTTCAGCTCAGGTGATGATCTCAGCATCATGAGATGGAGCCTCACACTGGGCTCCGTGCTGGGTGTGGAGCCTGCTTAAGATTCTCTCTCTCTCTCTCTCAAGTGCAGGCGTGTGCATGTGCTCTCTAATAAACAAAAAACCTAAAAAAAAAAAAAAAAAAAAAAAGGAAGGGGTGCCTGGGTGGCTAAATTGGTTAAGCGTCTGCCTTCGACTCAGATCATGATCTCAGGGTCCTGGGATCAAGCTCCACACTGGGCTCCCTGCTCAGTAGGGAGTCTGCTTCTCCCTCTCCCTGTCCTGTCGTGCCCCCCCGCATGCTCACTCTCTCTCAAATAAATAAAAATCTTTAAAAAAAAAAAAAGGAACAAAGTACTGATACAAGTTACAACATGTTGAGCTTTTAAGACATTATGCTAAGTTAAAGAAGCCAGATATAAAGACCATATATTATATGATTCAATTTATGTGAAATGTCTAGATGGGCAAATCCATAAGAACAGAAAGTGGTTATCAAGGACTGGGAGTGGAAGCAAGGGAGGCAGTAATGGAGAAAGAAAGACTACTAATATGTAGGGTGTTTTCTTTTTTTTTTTTTTTTTGAGAAAATTGTTCTAAAATTATATAATGGTGATGGGTGCATGTCTATGTGAATATATTAAAAAGTCATTGAATCGACTTCTGCATTCACACTTGAAAAGGATGAATATCATGGTATGTGAATTATATCTTAATAATCTGTAATTTAAATTTTTTTAAATCTAGAAATTGAACTGAGATTATCAATTTGAACTTACGGTATTTGGAGAATACCCTTAAAAAGAGCTTCATGCTGGGGTGCCTGGGTGGCTCAGTCAGTTAAGCATCCAACTCTTGATTTTGGCCCAGGTCATGATCTCAGGGTTGTGATGGAGGCCTGTGTGGGGTTCTGCCCTCAGCAGGGAGTCTGCTTCTCTCTCTCTCTCTCTTTCTCTCTCTCCCCCCAACCCCACGCCTCTCCCCACTCCCACACACCCTCTCCCTCTTTAAAATAAATTTTTTTTAAAAAAGAGCCTCATGCTGCCAATTAAAAGCTACTGGTTCTTCCAATGATTTTCAATTTCAAAACAAAAAAGGAAAAAATTTTTAATGTTAGGTTCTTACATTTGTACTAATAGTTATCTTAAAATATACAATATGTGAAAACTGACCTATGCTTCACACAGTGTCCTTTTAACTCCTTTCCAAAGAGACAAATTCATGACCCCAAAAACCCCCACCACCCAGTGCAAATCTCTGAATAACACCATAAAGCATCTCAGTTGCTCATTTCTGAGCTTTCAAGGTTAAAACCAGCGGGAGTTCCAGGGACTCCCTGGACGCCCGAAGTCAGAATGTCCTGATATGACTGCATACCTCTGTGTCAGTGAAAAGTGTGCAGATTATAAAAACGAAGATTACTATCTTGATGTTTCCTTTTTTCCACTAGAAACAGGAAATCCCTAAAGTCTTGGTATCTGTTAAGACGATCCAGGCTCCTGACCTTGCAGGGATGTGTGTGATTCAGTTTCAGATGCCCAAGACACACAAAACTAAGACGAACTTCACGGAGACCCCTTCTTGCGGAGCATGTCTAAGCTGCCTCAGCCAGCCACTGAGCCAGCTGCTAACAGTCTAAAGAGTATGAGGCCAAAGATAAAATGGTTAAGACCTCCCTCCAATTTTTCTCAAAGTCAGGACTTAGGCAAAAATAAACACTTCTGGGACGACTGCTCCTCACATAATCCAAGTTTCATAGCAATTTCGCCATATAAGCTAATTTTTTTTTTAAGATCTTATTTATTTGCCAGAGAGAGAGGAAACATGAGCAGGGGGAGAGGGAGAAGCAGGTTCCCGTCAAGCAGGGGGTCTGATGTGGGGCTCAATCCCAGGAGCCCGGGATCATGACCTGAGCCGAAGGCAGACGCTTAACCGACTGAGCCACCCAGGTGCCCCTAGGCTAATTTTTTTTAACTTGGGGTAAAGCACTGGCTCAGACTCAGTTTCCTCTTCTGTGAAATCAGGCTTGACTAGCTGATGTCTCAGGCAGGAGTCACCACACTTGGCCATATGTCGGAAGCGCCAGGAGAGCTTCATAAAAAGAAAGATTCCCATCTTCAACTCCAGAAACGTCATCCGGAAGGTGTTTTTTACAAAGGTCTGCCAGGAGATTGTGCGATCATCTAAATTTGGGAATCACTGCTAAGGTTTCTTCAAGCTCCAAAATTATGATTCTGGAGCTCTACTGTCCAATACAGTAGCCACTAGCCACGTGTCATGGAGCTCAGCAGCCACACGTGTGGACAGTATAGACACAGAACATTTTCACCAAGGCAGAAGGTTCTATTAGCCAGCACTGTTTTTAGAAAATCAATTAAAGACTTTTCCAAATATACATCGGTTCATCTCTATGCTTTCCTTGGTCTGATTTTATGTTACCATTTCTTCAACAACTGCTGCGCCCCAGTCCTCAAATATGTTAGCACATGAAAAAATAGACTAAGATCAAGCCCAGCTTTCCCTGGTTTCTCTGAAGATACTGGGAAAAAGGGACAAATTCTTCTGTGTGCATCTTTCCCCATCCCTCTTACCATACACACACACAAACATACATAATAAAAATGCAAACCCCAATTAGACTCTCCACCTCGTCTCGGACAGCGTCAGCAGCCCTGCCTTTGACAAGACTGTCTGCACTGGATAATTCTTTGTCGTGGGATCTCTCCTGTGTGCCACAGTATGCTTAGCACCATCCCTGGCCTCTACCCATGAGGTGGTAGTAGCACCTGTCCTCTAGTTGGGACACCGAAAAATATCTCTAGACATTGTCAATGATTCCCTGGAGAGACAAAAATCCCCTCCTTCATCTCGATTAACAAGCTACTCCTCTAATCCTGTCTCCATCTTAACTCTGCTCCTCACCCTCTCTTCTTCCCAGACTCCATAGAAGAAAACTAAGGAATTTTTAGTAAGCAAAACATGTTATTAAACAAAATCAAGACTTCCAAAGCCATCTTCAAGACTTGCCTCTCCTCTTTTATGCAAAAAATGTTTTGAGTAAATCAAGCAGGTTCCACTAGATTTCCCCACTTTGGCCCCTAGAACAAGATAAAGAGAAGCAAACGTCAAAGACAAAGGTTTTTCTTTGTAAGATATAGGGAGGGAATGACCCAGGAGGAAATCAAGGTTTTGGTCTGAAGCTTATTCATCCTTTTTAAGGAAAGAATATAAAATTACACATTTAATATTGGATACAAAAGTGAATATCTAGAGTGAGAAAAGAAATCATAATGCATTATAAATTTTTTTAAATGGACAGCTACTACGGCAAATACACCCTCAGAAGACCCTCAGTTAAGTCATGCCCTAGTATGATGCTCTCCCCTCAAATACAGAGGAATCTGTGACTGGCTGCTAACCAAGAGAATATCACCCCATGATTACATTTCCTTATGTAAGAATCTGTCTCAGCTAACCAGAGAGACATTCCTACTGGCCCTGAAGAAGCAGCTGCCATCATATGAACTACCTATGGAAAGGGCCTGGTAGCAAGGACCCATGGGCCTCCATCCCACATCTGCAAGAAACTGCCAGCACCCAGAGCTTGGAAGAGGACCCAAGCCACAGCTGAGCTCACAGCCAGAGCCGACACTGTTGCAGCCTTGTGGGACCCCGAACAGAGCACCCAGCTAAGCCATGCCAGATCCCTGGAAGCTGTAGATAACAAATGTGTTTTGTTTCCGGCTGCTAAATTTGTAAGAATTTGTTACATGGCAATAGAAAACCAATACAAGGGGCGCCTGGGTGGCTCCATCAGTTAAGCATCTGCCTTCTGCTGAGGTCATGATCTCAGGGTCTGGGATAGAGCCCCGTGTCAGGCTCCCTGCTCAGCGGGAAGTCTGCTTCTCCCTCTCCCTCTGCCTGCCACTCCCCCTGCTTGTGCTCTCTCTGTCAAATAAATGAAATCTAAGAAAGAAAGAAAGGAAGAAAGGAAGAAAGAAAGAGAGAGAGAGAAGGAGAGAGGGAGGGAGGGAGGGAGGGAGGGAGGGAAGGAAGGAAGGAAGGAAGGAAGGAAGGAAGGAAGGAAAGAAAGAAAAGAAAGAAAAGAAAAAAGAAAAAGAAAGAAAGAAAGAAAAGAAAGAAAGAAGAAAGAAAGAAAGAAAGAAAGAAAAAGAAAGAAAGAAAGAAAAAGAAAAGCAATACAAATACCATTTATATCACAAAATCTAACAAAATAACAT